AATCATTGGGTAATTAATTGTATTGTATTCACTAAAACGGTAAAGATTATCACTCAAAAATCACGTGTTCCGACTTACTCATTCTTAGCTGCCAACTAACAGCATGCATAGTATGTGTGGCACGTATCTCAGAATATGTTCATAAACAGAAAAAAGAGTCACTGAAACGTAAGTTTACTGGACAAAAAACGCGCTTTTGTGATATATTGTTAAGCTAATTATATCCTATTCTTTCTAAGAAGCGCAGCATATGTGTCGTATAAACAAGTACGTCGCGCGTACAGTTATGAATACGACCGTGCTGCAGTTCGGCAATAGCTAAATATGAGATAAGAACGAACCGATCGTTGAAAGGAAAAGGTGTTCCACCTGAAAGTCAATATGTAACAAGACTTTCTTTAATTATCATTATTACAGAACGCTATGATAATATTTTATATTCGTGTTCAGCGGCCCCTCCTCCAAAACAAGCACCACATTTACCAACATTTGCAGAATTTCTTCATATGTACATGTTTACAATTGCTAGAGTATTCATAAACCGTTGTTCATTATCCTCTTTCATCAACCAGCATTTGAAGACATTCCATCGCCGACACCATCAATTCCATCATCACATCATCGACTTTATCTGACTTATTTCAGAAATTCACATGACGAGATTGCAGCCTGGGTCTCCGATCATAAACGCTACTGGTCTTGCTGTCTCGATTCGAAAAGCGAAGAGGCAGAGAATTGATGATGATAGCGAAGACGATGACGTTGGGAAGATGATTGGACATAATACTGATATACTGTATAATTTGTGTCGCTATATAATTTATGGTACGCAATTTATATATATAACAAGATTACCAGAATCGGTACAGTTACGTGACCATCCGTATGACATCTCTAGCCATACATTGTCTAAATATAACACACGCGACATGACGTGATGCAATTGCCATCTATAAATAAGAGTGGGGATGTGGGAATTTACTGCGGATAAGTCAGCGTATAATTTTAATACATACAGTCATATAAAAACTAATTCTTTACAATAACGATATAGCGATAATAACACTAATAAGTCTTTACGTCAATAGAAAAGCATAATGACATAATATCAGTCAGGAGATAATAACATAATATTGTATTGCAATTGCCGTAATTGGTTTCCATAAATAAGAACAAGGATAAAAAATTTTCCATCAGGTCAGGGGTAAGGTATTGATTACAATATTATAAACATAAATATGCCATGGAAACATTTCGAACAGATAATATCAATAAATAAACAGTCACATGATAATGCAAATCACAGATCAGGTAATAGTAAAGCAATACCTTTAGCTATTTACATAATTACCTCAAATTGAATGTTCAGGCAACTAAATTTACTTCTAATGTCAAAAAATTGAACTATCCTATTCTTATAGCTTTATAATCTAGAA